ATATATATATATATATATATATATATATATATATATATATATAAAACACGGCAAAATGCTTTGTCATCTTAACCGTCGTCAGGCTGCAGCCATGTCCTGATTTCCTCATTTTCCAGACACTTTTGTTGAAATTTGTATTTTCCATTCTCTAGCTTTTTCTCCGCCTCGAGCTTCTTTTCCTTACATACGGCTTTACGATCAACCGGAAGCAGTTCCGCGCAAATATACCGCAAAATAATATACCTGATGAAATTGTTTGTATAAAAGTTTTTTTCTTTTTTAAATAAAGCATTTTAAATGCCACTGTACTCACACTTAATTCATTTTAATAAAAATTAAGGCCTTAATTTAAAAAATAATTTTATAATAATTTAATGATTTTTAATGACCCGTAGAAACACTGATTAAGATGTGCACAGAGTGGAATTTGAGCGGAGCATCCGCGCGCAACTTTGAACGGCGGAGCTATGAGGGAACATCCTCCTAAACAGGAATTGCGTGGCGCTCTGCTCCCACACATACTCTGTTTGGGTCTTATCTTATTTAAAGGACGTAACTACAAATTTTTCATTGTTAAAAAAATACAACCTCAAAACAGTGGTGCAGAATCAGAGTTATAACTAGAAAAATGAAAATGAGTGCTTCGGTTTACAATGCCAACAGGAAAGGATTCAGAATCATTGGGAGTCGTAGGATGAAGTCATCAATGTGAGACAGAGCTCAGGCGTCACCTTTCCTGTGAAATATTTCTATAAACCTTTTCCTTATACGTTCCTGGTGTCTCTTGCAGCAGATATTGTCGGGTTATAATCTCTCCTTACCTGTAAAGACTTTCCATCATTCTCCCTGCTGCTGGCCTCTGGTCCATCTCCTTCCTGACTGCTCTTTCTATTATGGGAACAAACATTTACAAAATGTGGAAAGCAAAATGTTAAAACAACGTTAGGAAGCAAGACTTTAAAGTTATTGCCATATATACAGTATTTATTTTTTATAGTTTCCCTGACTCTCCTTTCTTTATCTGGAGAGCAATTGTTGGCATAAAGTCTGCCCAGAAATGAAAGAGGATTTGGTTTGTACCAAGCATAAACTAACTAGCAACTAATATCATTGTGGTAGCCACTTTTGAAAGTATAGTTAAACAGATTAGCATATTGATATATTGGGATGTTTTAACCAGTTATTTAACTAACAAGTCTAATTTACAGTAAATGTTAAACAATTGTGGTTTGTTTGAAATTGAAAAATTACATTTGTGGCTTCTTGCTGCTGGTTTGCTGAACATTCAGCATTCTTCTACTGCATTCTTCTACATTAGCATGTGAATGCTCATGGTGTGTTCAAAGACGGCTCGGAAATAGAAATTACTGCATACTAATAACTGTTTTAATTGGGGTTATAGCTGAAGAAAGTGTGGGGGACTGAAGGGAGAGATAGGGAAAGTGCAGGGGCCACGTCCCATGCTAATCGATGTGCTCTCTTCATCCTGTGACATGGGAGCTAGCTCAGAGCTAGTCTGCCTGGCTGTGTGTTTCCTGGACGGGGCCGCCTTTTACAGCTGCTTTTTGTGTCTCTGCTTCTGTCTCCTTAAACCCCAGTCGGCCTCAGCAGATGGCCGCTCACACTGAGTCTGGTTCTGATGGAGGTTTCTTCCTGTTAAAAGGGATTTTTTCCTCTCCACTGTCGCTACAAGCATGCTTAGTGTGAGGGATTGTCTTCAAGTCAGTGAGTTGATGCAATCAACTGGTTTTCCTTAGATAGAAAACTTTAAATCAATTTGACTGTATGATCTGGTGAACTGTAAAGTGCCTTGAGATGAGATTTATTGTGAATTGGCGCTTTAGAAATAAACTGAATTGAATTTAAATGAATTGAATCCTGCGTCTGTTGCATTTTTTTTTATCTTGACTGAAAAATCAGGAGATTATCAGGAAAAATTACTGATCAAGAGCTCAGCGGGTGATCAGGAGTCTCCTGTGTAAATCTGAAGAGTTGGCAAATATGGACTATGTGTCCTGGTAAGCTTAGTTTGTCAGATTAAAAGTAGCTACAGAAAATAAAGACATTTAAACCTTTATTAAGCATACTTTTAATTATTTTTTTATGTTCTTTCTTATTAGCCTAATGCTGCATTTTAATCTTAAATATTATTTAAATCCCCTTTGGATCCTTAAATTCTAGTCCACCTACTCCCTCCTGACTAATATATGGAGGCCATATGTGTTTAAAGTAATCTCATTATAGATACAGCTGTTCTGCAAATGCCTCAGAGGTTTGCTAGAGAGCAATGGAAAACAAACATCAACAAACCAGTTGGAAAGAAACCTAAAATGGAGCTTAAAGCTCCAGGCTGATGACATCTGGTTGAGCTGGAGACATTTTGTAAATATCTGACAAAAAGATGCTCAAAACTGGTAGAAGCTTGCAGCTAAAACTGCACCAATGGTAATCAAGAAGTCTAAATAATTAAGGCACGAAGCATTTTGGCCAAAGCTGTTGGCATATTTGGTCGATTAAAGGCAGAAAAGGTTTTTTTTTCTCGTTTCTGTTGATTTTGTGATGATGCATTGGAATTATGTCCTTGTTTTTTTCAGCTGGAGGAAGCCTTGAGTGAAGTGGACTTTCAGCTGAAGTTGGATCTTCACTTCACTGACAATGAGCAACAGTGAGTTTGTTTTCTGTTTTTCTCTTCTCCTAGGAATCCTTTGGGTTTTGTTTTTTTTTTAGAGACACTGAAATGTTTTTTTCTGTCCCAATTCATGTCTCCTTCCCTCGGTGTGCTGTTTCACTCCATCAGGCTGGCAGATATAGTGACGGTTCCGTTGATCAGCAGTCGGACCCTAAGCCTCCACTTCCATCCGCGGCGAGGCCTTCACCATCACGTCCCAGTCATGTTTGACTACTTCCACTTGTCTGTCATTTCTGTCTCTGTGCATGCTTCACTGGTTGCCTTACATCAGCCACTGATCAGGTACGGTTTAATCATCCTATATAAACATCTAAAAGTTGTCATAGGGAAGCTCATAAAAACATAAAAACTCTGGTTCTGTTTAAAGTAAATATACCCAACTATTAATCATAAATGGCTCAGTGGTTCTCATACCTGTTGTTACTCAGGTTCTGCTTGACAGTAAGACTACCTTCATAGACGCTTAAATTCTTTATAGTTATGCTGCTAAATAAATGTAAAGACTTTACATCTCATTCATAGGTACTTATTATTTATTACTTGTGGAGGAGCAGGAGAAGAAACTGACTGGTTTCTTGCCAAATAGTGACCATAATCAGTTCTTTTTAAGCATAGTTTTTGTAACATTGTGTGTTTATTATTTATTTATTTTTATTTTTTTTATTTATCATACAGTTTCAGCCTGTTACCCTGAAATGAATGCAATAGACTCTGCCCCTTAAAAATACTTTTAAATACTTTAAACATGTTAATTCCTACATATAAGGTGAAATCATTATATGAATCTTAAAGGAATAGTACACCCAAA